GACCCTTCTCGAGCACTCCGACTACGGGACTCTCTCTCAGGATATGGTAAGACCGGGAAATTTATCTCCTGCTGAACCTCAGAATACCCACCAAAGTATGGAAGTTAAAAGTATAAAATCAGTATAGAGTATGTATGTATACTTAAATTCAGTATTTAGTATTTTCAGTTTATTAGTATTCAGTATTTTCAGTTGCGGTAATGCTAGATGCTTAATTTTTCTACATAAGATGGCATTTGAGCTCCAAATAGCTCTCAGATAACTTTTATCTCTTGACTTCTGTCGAATGGAAAGAGAATGTTAGTGCGCGAGAGCACGCTTTTACTCTGCATCAGATAAAAAAACGTCTGGAACAACAAAAGGATGATAAGAAGAATCGAGATGGTAGAATGGGATATTTCAACTTAGCCGCCATCAGTCGGCGAAGAAAGATGTAATGAATGAAAATAGACAAGTAATGTGAAAAAAAGTTGGAACAGTAAGGTAGTAAGCACTTCAAATAATTAACAAAATGTTAGGTAAGAATATCCGAAGGATATTTGTGTTTTTCTCTAGGAAAAGGTGAGCATCGCAAAGAGCTGATACAGTTGTTTGGATGTAATAGTACAGAAAAGAAAAAAAATTGTTGCAAATTTTTTGGATATAATTTTGTTTAGTATCAATTTGAAGATCTCTGTGAATAATATGAACTTTGGGATGAACCAGGGTGCATTAATAATTTCATTCGATTAATAATTTTAATAATAAGGGTTTTATTTTGAATAACTTGGACCTTTTTATGCTGGGTTTTAGCGGCGTGACCCCATACCGGATTGGCGTAAAGTAAAGTAGGTCTAAGGATGGACTTGTATAAAACAAGTTTATTGTTGATAGTCAGATTGATATGTCTGTGAGGAGAGGGCACATAGTAGCTATTGAAATATTGAATTTCCTCACAGTTTTGTGTAAATGTTGCCGAAAAGTGAGTTTTTGTTGTGATTCCTAGATACTTCACTTGATCCGTCCACTGAATATCGTCGTCAAAGAAAATGGGATTAGGCGGAAGGAAGTTTGTTTGTCCTTTTCTGAAAATAATGGCTTTGGTTTTGTCAGTGTTAACGGCAATTCTCCACAGCGTCATCCAGTTTTCAAGAAGCTCCAAATAGTTTTGTAGAAAAATTTGTACAGTATTGATGGTCGAAGCTTGAGTTAGGATAGCGGTATCGTCGGCAAATAAGGCAGTAGTAATATGAGATTCTTTTGGAATGCCTTGAGCATAAATACTGTAAAGAAAAGGAGAGAGAACGGAGCCTTGAGAGACACCTGCAGTAATATTTCTTTTAGTTGAGAGGGTGTTTCCAATTTTGACAGCGAAAGTGCGATTTCTGAGGTAGAAGGCAGTAAGTCGAATAAAGTGGTTCGGAAAATTGAGCTGAATTAGTTTGAATATAAGTCCTTGGTGCCACAATCTGTCAAAGGCTTTGGCAATATCTAAGAAAATTGAGCCGGTAGGAAATTTGCAATTGAATTCATCAGTAATGTAATTGATAACGTGGAGAAGTTGATGATTGGTGCTGTGCAAATGTCTGAATCCAAATTGTTCATCAGGAGTATAAGAGCTAGGAGGCATGATTCGATTAATATAAAACAGAATAATTTTTTCAGCAATTTTAGAAATATGACAAAGTAAACTGATAGACCGATAATTTTGAGGATAGTAGTAGTACTTTGATGTACTTTATAAAGTAGAACTTTGATGAGGCTTAGGGAAGACAACAACTGCATATTTCCATGCTTTGGGGAAGTAAGAGAGCTTGATAACTGAGTTAATTTAGTTAAGCACGTAATTGCATTAATTAGAAGATGCTTGAGTGCTTTGGAAGAAATGGCATCACATCCAGCAGCTTTTTTAGTTTTTAAAGAGCTAATAAAATCCGCAACATTTCTCGGAGAAGCGAGTAATCTCGGAATTCCAAACTGGGGCGGAAGCTTAATAGTTAGCTGTGTAACAATACCTCAACAACGTATGATACTACAGAGGTACTAGCCTAGCTGCTACTTTACACTGCGGGGAAAAAAGGGAGGGTGACAGTTCTATATCTCCCGTTCTCACTGAGCCGATTGACAAAATTCAAATTTCGGTTTTCATGCCTCGAAAGCGTGACTTAGGATAAATATTACATTTATATATAGCATTGTTCTAACATAGATATTTTGACACAAAATCGGACTTTTTCTGAAATAACATACAAATTTGCTTTCCACATTTCGATTCTTAGACTCAAATTAGGCCCAGATATTAAATTTTGTAAAATTTGGTGCGAAATTTACAATGAAATTCAAAAATTTATCTTGGAGAATTTTTTTTTCTTTAATTTTTTTTATAATCTTAGTGAATAATAATTCACTTGGCGAACTTCTTAATATATGGCAATCAATTTTCATTTCGCTTCCATTATGCCGGAGAGGGGAAAAAGTCACATCGTTCTTATCTTTTTAGATTGCGTATGAGTGGGGAAAAAGTCACCTGGTTTCTACTTCCAAATAATTTTAGCAAAGTGTTTTTTTTTTTCTACTTTTAAATAATTTTAGCAAAGTGTTTTCGTTTCTACTTCCAAATAATTTTAGCAAAGTGTTTAATCCACATGTGATGTTTTATCGCTTTCAACAAATATGCCAAATTTCAAAGCGCGCCAATATATAAATTTACGTATATCTTCAGAAGTTTTGAATAAAAAATTGTAATTTTTTACAGGTATGCTTAGAAATATGTCTACTTTAAGATGATGTTAAAAATTTATAGATTATAATTCAAAATGTTTTTTTGGAAAATTTATAAAAATTATTGAAAAATACAATTTTAAAAATAAATCATAAAAAATGGGTGAATTATATTTGGAGTGAACCTGAATTTTGAAATGTGAAAAGAAAACTCAAATAAGTTTAATAAAAAAGAGAGATTAATAAATATATACCAAGCTCAATTAACATTAAGGAGCTAAAATTTTGAGAGCTAATTTTTTAAAAATTACTCGTGCTATTTTTACAAAACTTGACAGTTAGGCGTAATTTGAGTGGTAGAATAGAAATATGGAAAAACTTGGTATGTAATTTCAGAAATATTCCAATTTTTTGTCAGAATACCTGTATTAGAGCAATGCTATATATAAATCTAATACATATCCTAAGTCGCGCTTTCGAGACATGAAAAACGCAGGTTGAATTCCGTCAATCGGCCCAGTAGAACGAGAGATATACAACTGTCCAGTTTTTTTTTTTTCCGCAGTGTACCTGTACCAGTGTTCAACGCTTTTAACTCCCGGCCGCTGGTGAGGCATCCTAACAAGGACAATTACTGAATTACAGTACATACGGTAATTCAGTAAGCATTCAGTAAGCAAACTGAATTACCGTATGTACGGTAAAATTGAATTACCGTACATACGGTAATTCAGTTTTAGCATGTTACCGAATTACCGTACATACGGTAATTCAGTAACATGCTAAAATTTCTTAACCGTAGATTTCGAATTTGGAATTCTTACTGAACATTGAATGAAATTAATGTCAAAATTTATCTAAACAAATGAAACTTCTTACACATCAAATTTCAAACTTAATTTACTATGTAAATAACCAAAATTTCTTAACCTTGAAATTCTTAAACCGATTAAAATGTATCATGCACATTCCATTCGACGCATCAGTGCTACTTCCTTGCATGATTTTCTTCTTTGTGAGATCACACTGAATATAGACTGCAAGCTGGTTATGATGCAAGATTCATGACTGTAAACTATCTAACGCAGGAAGTTTTACGCATCCTTTGATACTCCCAGTTTAAGGGGGGAGGTATGTCCCCCGCACCTTTATTCTGTACAGAAATGCATCTTTTAACTTAATTAACTAGCGCTACATATGCGAAAATATCTTTATGAATGCCTTAATTTACATCCAGCGTGTGTCACGTGTTCTGTATTTCGTCCTTTTAACAAGACAGAAAGACATTACAAAAGCCCGGTGTCACTTAAAATAATTATCTCCTCGGCATTCTCTCTAACAAGCTTTGTGACTTTAATTCAGTTAGAATCTGCGCAAGATGCGGTTTCGTGGGCTGTCACGAGATTTTATTTCGGATGGAATAATATATAAGGTAATTCAATATATACAATAGATTTTCCAAGAGATGGAGGACATACGAAGCACGTTTCTATTTACCTCAGTTAAATTAGATTACTGTTCCTTGCGAAATTTATGAATGAAACTATGCACTTTCATTGCCTTAGACTGACATATGGTAAGTAAGTATAATGGCTTTGAATGTAAAGTTAATAAAGAGAAAACTATTTATTTTTGGATTTTTCTCAAATTTTATTCAATTCAGTAAGGAAGAGATTTATAATTTATAAAATTCGCTAAGAGTTTAAAATTCTCTTAGCATTCTTTTTATAATATAAACGTACATTTTCCTTGTGCACGTGACGCTGTCATTTCATTTGTTACTTATTTATTTAAAATTTTCACATTGTTCTATGTGTTAAAATCAGAAATTAAAGTGAATGACCTAAAACTGCAATAGTATATTACAGTACAAGTGAAAAAGTTGACAGTACGGGTGTGTCGGATTTGCGCAATGCTTATGGGTTCCCACAAAATTTTCGTAAATATTATGGGGGTCCTGGGGTTGTGAAAAAAATCTCAGTGATAAAAAGGGGTTTCTATTGAAAAAAGTTTAAGAAGTTACTGTTATAAGCAATGCGACGATATTCTGTATTTTTCGTAAATAAAGCAAGAGCCTCCTTGAATTGTACACTTATAAGCTTAAACTCCAATTTGCTTAACTAACCTAACTCTTAAGCTTGCAAGACGAAGTTTTGCAAAAAGTTTTCTTCTCGCAATGTTACATTAGGAATGTTGAAGTCACAAAATCCAGTCTTTTATTAGTATACGGATCCAGAATTTAAATGTATGCAAAATACATATAAAATATGCATGCTACAATAACATCAAACTAGACTTACGGCAAGGTAGATTTTCCTTGCATTTTCTTCTTTGCACCAATTTTCCAGGACAGGGTTTCCCTCCATTTTCAGGATTCAGTTTGATCATGCGCCGTCTTTCTTTTCGTCCATTGCCGCAGGTATGAGAACATTCACTCCATGCGGACCAGGGTGTCACGACACAGTCGATGACAGGGTGAAGTTCCTTTTCAGTTGGTTGGGCAGGTGAAGTGGACAACGGTGTGAGAGCACTAAGTGGAGCTATTGAGGGGGGAAAGGCAAAAACATATTTTATTATTTTTGGCTCACAAAACACTATCACATTTACAATAAATAAAGAAATCAATAATAATACACAATCCATTTTTATTATTTTGTTATTATATTATCACATACACTACTTTATTTAGTAAATATTAACACCGATACAGATATATTTTTTATACAATGGCTGCCACACATAAAGCGAAAATTATTACAGTCTATTACTTTAAAATAGGCACTTCAAGGTCACAGCGATCTCCTCTCGTTTGTGGTGGTGGTGGTGGTGTATTAAATTATGGCAAAGCACACTAGGGCTATCTGCCTAAGGGGAGGGATGCCTTCGTGGAGGATTTTCTAAGGGAAACTGGCTCGTGTGCACGTTACACATGGGGACCAAGAAAACACCCATGCAGCCAGCCCGTTCGCGGGATTCGAACCTCGAATCGAACTACCAGTGTTCAGCGACTTTACCGCTCGGCCGCTGGTGGGCCCTCTCCTTTGTGATCACATCGTGCGTCGTCGTCACCGCATAGAGAGGATAAAGAGATTTTAATAAATTAGAGACCGCAACAGTTATTGCAATGGTTATGAGTCATGGTTTGCGGGAAAGAAATCACATTGAAGTGAGTATCCCAAAAATGATAGATTGTAACAGGACACCATATTTATAGATTGTAGAGCCTTTAGAATAACTGAATCAATAATTTCCACGATTCAATATAAGAAATAAATCAAACAAGATAAGGCTTCACTACGATAGTTATGGTAAGGTAAAAATAATAACGATAAGTATGGTAATGTATTTTTTGAAAAATACATGAAATTTAATGGAATATATATATATATATTTTGCAGAAAAACAGGAGTAAACAAGTTCCGAGGTTTCAGACTTCCATTCAAAGAATACTTGTTAAAGCAAAACTCAGCTGTGGTTTTACAATTGATAAATCTAATAGTCTGGAACAATATACACTGGTGTGCAAAAATTAAGGACGAAGTCGAAAAATTTGCATATCAGCTGAACGAAGAGGCAGAGCGGACAGAAAGACCAATCAGGAGATTAAGTAAAGTGATGTACGGTAGCACATGCGCAGATATGCAGGTAGACGTAATGGGGGAGTGTCTGAGTAGTATAAAGCATGTTGTCGGTGTAAGATCAGTATTTCTGGCAAAGAGATTGCACGCCGTATAGCAGTTAAAATCACACCGAGTTGCTGCCTCAGCGAGAAATGGCAAATAATCAATCTGTTAGACAACATCTGGATGCTTTTACCCGAGGTCGAATCATTGGGAAGTTGGAGGAAGACCGCAGTGTGACAAGTGTGGCTGCAGAGTTCGGAATTGCTCACAGCATCGTTTCACGACTTTGGAGACAATTTCAAACTACAGGAACAGCTATCCGGGGGTTTAGTAGTGGTCGTCCACGAGGAACCACACGCGCAGATGACCGGTATATTGCCTTACAGGCCAGAAGAAACAGGCGGCAGACAGCGGGAGAAATCGCTAGACACGACACAGGCGACTGGACGACCGATATCGCGTTTTAACCGTGGCCAGAAGACTGCACGGTGGTGGTCTGTTTGCACGACGCCCTGTACGGTGTGTACCTCTAACGCCTGCCCATCGGAGAAGGCGTTCTCTGTGGTGCCGGGAACACCGGAATTGGAGAGACAATGAATGGGGACGAGTAACTCTTTACAGATGAGAGCAGATTCAGTCTGAGTAGCGATTCTCACCGCATACTCATCTGGAGAGAGCGGGGAAGCCGCAATCATCCCTCGAACATCATTGAAAGGGACAGGTATGGAGATGGCGGTGTTCTCGTTTGGGGAGGCATCATGCTTGGTAGTCGTACAGACCTTCACATCTTCGACGCAGGTTCAGTCAACGGGACCCGTTATTGTAACGAGATTCTTCTTCCATATGTGCGTCTTTTTAGAGGCGCTATGGGTCCGCAGTTCCTTTTCATGGACAACAACGTATGGATTGGCCGGCACGATCTCCCGATCTCAATCCCATCGAGCATGTATGGGATTTTCTAGGCAGACGCTTGGCAGCTCGTACCTTACCACCAGTAACGATTCCGGAGCTTCGATTGGCCCTGCAAGACGAATGGGCAGCAATGCCTCAACAACTCATTGACACCCTCATTCTCAGCATGGGCAGACGCTGTGAAACCTGCCTAACAGTCAGGGGAGATCATATCCCCTATTAAAGACCGGATGTTTCTTGCTGGACACCCATCACAGAGATGTTTCGGCCTTCAGTCGCATTGCGCTCCATGCTACGTTTTCAATAAAACTTCTTGTTATCCCTCTGATTTCTCTTTTAGTAAGTGTTGCTTACATTACTCATGTCCTTACGTAGTGGGGATCTTACGGTATTAAATGTGTTGATTTGGAAAGCTTTTGTACAAAGTTATATTGAAAAAACCGTCTCGTCCTTAATTTTTGCACACCAGTGTAGTTTTTGTATTCATATTATCCACATGTTAATTTAATTCCTTAAATTATACCTAATTTTGATCTAAAAAAATTCAGTTTTTATGGGACTCAGAATTTGACATTCTCGATGAAAAATTGCAGATTTGGTAAAAGATATTTCAAGTACTCGAAGCAACTGCCAAGAAGTCTCTTTGTACATCATCCACATGAAATTTCAACTTTGAGGTTTGATTACTCTTCTAAATTCCTATCACAAAAATTGTTTCAGGCAGAAAGGCTATCTGATGTGACAGATTTCTTAAACTGTAACTGTAGTCGTATAATTAAATTATTGAAAGGTACTTAAAGATAAAGTAGTCGTGTACTCTTCTTTGAAGCATTCAGCACAGCAATGGAAGAAAATATATATGGTTTAATGATAATTAACTGAGAATCACCAAATAATTTAGTATTAGTAATAATTATTTTTATTTTGTGGTAAAATTGTTTTGGGGATAGGCAGATAGTTTTTATGCCAGAAAACATGTATAATGATGCCATTTTTTTTGGAGGGGGTGTCTGTTATGTATACTACCAAGACATAATCATCAATGAGATTTTTGCTATTCGTTAGACTTCAAATGGTACTTCAATGGTACTTACTTTAACTTCCTCATGGCTTGCCGTTATAGGCAAGTGCCCGCTATTGGGGGAAAAAAAAACTTTCTCATGGCCTGACTTAGGTTCTTTTATCTTTCAAATTATTATTGAAGCAGCTCAACAGACTGAATAATTCATTAACACAAACTGTTTACACCTTTTTCTTAAATTAAAATGCTTTAATTATGTGCTTTGATTAAAATATTAATTTATGATGCATTCAAATGAAAATTTTGATGAGCATTTCTATTATTATAGTAAGTAGAAAAGATGTTTTTAACATCATATACTGAGCACCGAGGTACAGAATGACTGTTCGCTTTTTAAAATTATTTAGTCAACACTCATTACGCAGTTGGACTGATTTCTAATTTATAATAGAACTGCTATACTAATACAACAATATTAGGTCTTGAAATTAAGTTAACAAGGAATAATTTATAACCATTATTTGCCATATGATACATAGGTAACTGGTGAAGTATGTGTGTTTCACTATTTTTTTATATTTTTTGCAGCTTTGAAACAACATTATTCATAAATACCTATTTGAACTATAATTGTATAAGCTCAATTTTTCTCACAATAGCCAAAAGACTTTAAATTGTAATAAATATAGAATTTTTCTTAAATATTTTTAAAACGCTATGTAAAATAATAAACATTACATCGAGAGGATTTCTTATTCAAAATCATGGATACGTTTTAGAAACAATTCGTTTTAATTCATTGGTATGATATTCTTTTCTATTCTAATAATATCTGCTTTACACTCTCATTTTATTATTTTATTTGGCATAATTTTGTAACGTAATTAATTATATCAGTTTTCTAATTTTAAGTTATATTTTGTCATGCATCATTGTTTCCGCATTTTTCTTATTTATTTCTTAACTTCTTTTCAGATATTTCTGTATATTAGAAATTTAAAATTGCTGCTAAAACAGAAATTCTGTAGGTATAGCTTCTGCGATAAAAGTTCCAATTATATGCATATCAGACATTTTTAGTGAAACGTTGGTACATTAACGAAACCTGCTTAAATGTTTAATTATGTCAAAGCACAGAAAGGCAGTCTGCCTTAAGAATGGTGCCGTCAGAAGTCTTCCTTAAGAATAGTGCGGGTGATGGAATTTCAAAGAAAAGTGGCTCGTATTTATCTTTTCAAACACTCTCATATATGTCACCCTGTTTGCTGAATTGAAACCAGGACAAAAATATTCGTACTTAGTAATTTTAACCACCCTGTACTAGTAAGCAATGTGAAGATCTAATCAGATAATATTGAGATTATAATCTGAAGAAAATATTACAGTTTGAAAACGTGGATTGTTTTAGACAGATATCAAGATCAAGGTAATTCTCCACTTTCTCAACTTGATTCAATTCCGTACAGAAGCTTCGATGCTTCATTTTAGGAAATGGGAGTACTTTTAATTTGCTTTCTATTTATACATTATATTCATTGTACATTCGTTCCCTTATTATAAAGGTTTATTGGTTGAAAACTATTATAACTACACTTATATGGTTTTCTGTAAATAGTGATCGTAACAATTAAGTAATATCTTAATAAACCTGAACGCGCGCCCACTTTGTAGCTTGGAGAATGTCAAGTCGATATTTCAGTAATATCGACTTAAATACTTTCCTCTTCGAAGAAGAAAATATTTAAGCAGCTGTTGTTGGATAATAACTATTCTGTTTGAAATAACATTGAGATGCTATACTCCACAGAACAGCCAATCGCTGTGAATGATAACATTCCCCGAAGTTCCCGAAGAAGACAACTATTTCTATTTAAATGAGAAAGACTGGAAAAACTGTTTTGACAGCATTGTAGCCAATGAGGAATATAGTGTCATCACTGTGAATCATCAAGCCATCACATAAATTTGTGATACGGTTATACCA